GCGTGCAGGAAACTCAGCTGGCTCCCCTCAGGAGCAATGCACCCCTTCTCTGTGCATCTCTCCCTCTCAGTGTCTCTCTCTGTCTCTCTCTGCATCTCTGTGTGTGTCTCTCTTTATGGGTGTCTCTGTCAGTGTCTCCCTAGGTATCTCTCTCCCCGCCAACATCCTTCCTCTCTCTTGCTTGGTGGGCCTGTCTCATGGTGAGGTAAGCATCCAATTAGTCGCAGACGTCCTCTTGTCCAGGGCTCTAAAGCTGTGCTCCAGGACATTAGTCAGTGTTTCATGACAAGTGTCCCAGACTAAAACATGACGTTTGGGAGACTCCGGGCCAACGGGAGTGGAGCAGAAACCCCCAGAGGCTGCATGTGTGGCCTCTGCAGGTGGATGGTTGTTGAGGGGGACGGCTGTGCAGGGGGACGGCTGTGCAAGGGGACGGCTGTGCAGGGGGACGGCTGTGCAGGTGGATGGTTGTTGAGGGGGACGGCTGTGCAGGGGGGTGGCTGTGCAGGGGGTCGGCTGTGTAGGTGGACGGCTGTGCAGGGGGACGGCTGTGCAGGGGGACGGCTGTGCAGGGGGACGGCTGTGCAGGGGGACGGCTGTGCAGGCTGGGCTCCTCCCTGGCCATCTCTACTCCTTTCTGTTCTTAATATTGCGATATGAAAATGATAATCATAGTACCTACCTTGAAAGTTTGTTGTGAGCATTAAATATGATACATAGGAAGTCACTTAGCACCTAACATCCAATATTAACTGTGATTATCCTTCAGACCTGGGACAAAAGGAGGCCTCTCGGGACCCCAGCAAGAATGGCAGCAGCTGTCAGCAGACATCCCCAGGCTTTGTCGTCTGGCCGGAAGGCGGTGATGAACAGTGGAAACTCTGGGCAGGTGAGAATGGAGCCTGGGCCCATCACCAAGCTGAGGGGAGACTCTCTGGGGCTGATCCTTCACCAGCCCATTTTGCAGATGAGGAAACTGAGGAAAAAGTGCCAAAACTAGGGATCCAGGCTCTTAACTCCAAACACAGTGATCTTGCTGCTTTTGCGAGCCAACTTGGAGTTCAGCAAACACCACCAAGGAAGGCTGGGGAGCAGGAACTGGAGAAAGGGGCAGGAAGGACTCAGACCCCCCCACCAGCCCCCAGGAGGGTCTCTGCCTGGGTGCCAGGCTCAAGGCTGACCGGTCCTGCCCTGCCCCTGGCTTCGGGTTTTTCCAAATTCTGCCTCTGCCCCTGGAAAGCCATTGCAGGCAAGGCTCTCCCAAGCCTCCGTTTACAAAATTATAAGCTTCCTTTGTCCCCAGGCTCCTCTGGTTACAATAATACTCATCGGCTCTCCGGAGCTTTCAGGGGCATGGAAAATGTGACTTCATTCCTCAAGGATTTTCTGCTTTGACAAAATGGCCTTCGTGAAAGAAAATGAAAAAAGAATGTCTCTGTCCATCCTCGGTATTAATAGAAAAGGCAACCGGATTCCAGCTGCTCAGCCCGGAGTCAGGTCCAGGAGCCCCCAGAGGGTCCAGCAGGGACAGTCAGGGGACCTTCACTCTCTCCCGCACCACGGGCTGGAAATCAGCATCACCGGGTGGGGCCCGAAAGGAGCAGGGAGGGAAAGGGTCACTGAAGACCGATATCAAAGGCAGGAAATGAATTCATCCAGACGAACCTTTTCCCGACTTGACCATTTCATCATTTCTGCGCTTATTTATTCAGTCAGTCACTTGTCCAAAGTGCTTAAAGTGAGGAGCTCTGGAGTCCGAGCCCTGGAGTCAGCAGCCTGGCTCTGCCACCTCTCCAAGCCAAAGTTTTCTCACCTGCAAAACAAAGACAATGTAATACTGACCTCATAGGGCTGCTGTGAGGACTAATGCAAAGGGCTTGGAACCATGCCCAGCAGATTATAAGACACGGTGGCTCTTATGGCTGCTGTTCATTCCAGCAAACCTTTGTCGAGCAGAGCCGGGTGTCTGAGGATGGGCTGTTGGGGACACCCGTCTTATCAAGGCACCTGCAGCCTAGCAACCTGGCTCTGGAATCTCCTACTCCAGGCCCATTTCTTTAAGCACCAGGGAGACTTTAATAGGTAGACTGGCAGGGTAGAAGGGTAGTAGAAGGGCTTCATGAGCGCTTGCTGTATACAATACTCCATGTGTGTGCTATCGGAAATTCAGAAATAGCAATTATAAATTTAACTCCACAATTTCAAATGTATGAGAAATGTCACTTTTTATTAATAAAATTTCTTTAAATCAAGTTGAATCTGTCTCTGATCCCCTGTCCCACCTGGAGACAGGAAATTCAGTCTCAGATATTAATGGGACACCTGCCCATCCTCTCTTTCACCAGCATCACAAGAAAGGGTGCATGTGTGGTCACTGGCCCTTGTCCACATTGGTTACTGCTAGACACCCAATCCAAGGCCACACGGTCCCTAGAGGCCCAGTGGCTCTGCTGCTTCCTGCCAACTGGTGCCAGAGAACGCCGGGCCCAGACATGCCACACAGTTGGTCCACTCTGAGGTCCTGCCCACTGGGGCACTGCCAGGGAAGAGGGCACTGGGCCTTCAGAACTCTTCCTTCAAAGGCACTCACCTCTCAAAGAACTTAGGCTCCCAGAAAGAAAAAAAAAGTTACAAAAGGGGAGTGAGCCTATAGTCCCAGCTACGTGAGAGGCTGAGGCGGGAGGATCCCTTGAGCCCAGGAGTTCGAGGTTGCAGCAAGCTGTGATCGTGCCGCGGCACTGCAGCCTGAGCCACAGAGCAAGACCCTATTTCAAAAAGCAAATACAACAGTCACCAAAGAAAGCGGTTCCTGCTCTCCATCCTGCTGCAGGGCTGCCCCGGGGGCAGGCTGTGCACATGGGAGCTGGGGGCAGTGAGGCCTAACAACCGGCGGGCAGAACACGATCTATCTCACAGTGATGGGTGACATGGCCCCACCTCCAAAGAGGTGACCTCCAGGGGCACGTGACAAGACATCCGCACCCCACCCCCACCCCCTTACCCACAGGCAGAGGAAGCAGCAAGCTGACATTTCAGGGGTAACAAGAAGCCCCCCAGGAAGCAAGCCAATCTCCCCCTGGGCTTCCTGAACACTTACATCCTTGCTTTCCCCTAAGGGTAGATGCCCTGGAGAGGTCTCTGCCAAGAGGGATCAGTTGACTTATCACTGTCACCTCACTGAGGCCAGGACAAAAGGGAAGAGTACTAAAAAAGAAATGGGGTGGAGGCTCACACCTGTAATCCTAGCACTCTAGGAGGCCGAGGTGGGAAGATCACTTGAGCTCAGAAGTTCAAGACAAGGCTGAGCAAGAGGAAGACCCTGTCTCTACAAAAAATAGAACAATTAGGTGGATGTGGCGGCATGCACCTGTAGTCCCAGCTGCTCGGGAGGCCGAGGCAGGAGAACTGCTTGAGTCCAGGAGTTTGAGGTTGCAGTGAGCTATGATGATGCCACTGTACTCTACTGCAGGTTAATCAAGCAAGACTCTGCCTCAAAAAAGAAAGAAAAGAAAAAGGAAGGAAGGAAATGGGAATTTATTTAGCACCAACTAGGTACCAACAGGTTTCACAAACATCCTACCTGTTCATTGCAACAGCCATGCAAGAGGAGTGCTGGTATTCCTTGGTATTGAGGGGGAAATAAAGGCCCCACGAGCAGAAGGGCCAAGGTCACAGAGCCACATCGGGACAGAGCTGAGCCTAGAACACTCAGCCAACACTTAATAATAATAATGGCACCATAACTCAGGTTGCTATTCCCACTCCCATTTCACAGGGAGAAGCTGAATCCCAGCAACTGGGTGACCGGTGAGGGTCAGGAAGGCTGGGCCTGGGGCCTGACTCTTCAGGCCCTCATTTTTCTGCCACTGCATGAGGGGCAATTGGCTGGAAGGTCCCGAGTTCTGAGAACGAGGGGTCTGCCCAGATTCCTGCAAACGGTAAAGAAGCACTACCAGGGACACTGGTGGCTTTGTGTAGGATTTAAAGACTCCGATTATTGTGAAATAAAACTTTTATGAAAATGTAAATGTTTGCAAACAAATGGAAGAGTGTTGCTTTGGAGAACAGAAGACACAAATGTCTCCATTCCCCACTGCCTCCTCCCATCTCAAATCAATGGCCTTGACTCCCTCACTGTGTTAAACAAGCATTGCTCTCTCTAGGACCCGGCGTGCTGAGCAGCGCTGCACAAAGGGACACAGACGGGCAGAGAAGGAAGGACCCCTTCACCCCACAGCTGAGAAAACTTAAGTCTAGATGACACACCCAACTTGCCCAGTGTCAGGCACCCGGGTACACACCTGCGCGCGCGCACGTGTGCACGCACGCACGGCCATGCACGCTCGCGCTCCGCCCGCACACCCTGCACGGCCCGCACGTGCCCGCCCGCACGTACGCAGCGCGGCGCGCCCACCCCCTCCCGGGCAGGGGCCGCCGGTGCTGCTCGCGCGCGGGGCAACACTGCCCCCTGGTGGCCCAGCGCCCGGAGCGCTCATCCCTGCGAGCGCCCTCTACTAAAGTACCTCCACCTGTTGCTAAAGATCAATACCTGTTTCCCAGAAGGGACTGCAAGCAGGTTGAGCAGAGGGAGAACGTAGGCTGTAGCACAGTCACCTGAAGGCCTCAGCTGATCCTCCTGGAAACACTGAAGTTGGGGTGGCTCTTTGGGGCTAAGAGATTTAGCAAATAAAGTACAGGATGCCCTATTAAATTTGAGTATCAGATAAGCTGTGCATGACTTTTTAGTATAAGTATGTCCCATGCAAAGTGAGGAGGGTGTTTATATAAAAGGGGCTGGAGTTGGGGGGCTACAGTGGTGGAATTTGTTTACATACAGAGAGAGGGAATGAATAGGCAATGTGCGGTCCGCCCTCCGTGTGTCCATTCCACATCCATGGATTCAGCCAACTGTGGATTGAAAATATTTGGAAAAAATAAATGGCTGTGTCTGTACATATACAGACTTTTTTCTTGTCATCATTCCCTAAACAATACAGTGCAACTATTTAAATTGTATTAGGTATTATAAGCAATCAAGAGATGATTTTAAAAATCTGAGAGGATATACATAGGTTATAGGAAAACACTACACTATTTTGTGTAAGGCACTTGAGTATCATGGATTTGGGTATCCAAAGGGGTCCTGGAACCGCTCCCCCATGGATGCTGAGGGACCAATGTGCTAAGGACAAGGGGAGCCACATTTCTTACTATTGGAGACGGGAGTCAGCAATACGAGGGGGGGGAAGAAAACAAGAGTAAACCCAGTGGAATGAGAGCTATTGGTGTGAACTCAATTTTCAATATACAGAGATTTAAAAGAAAATGCCGATATGAATGTGTGTATGTTTTGGACTGCATGTTTGTGTCCCCCTAAAATTCATATGTTGAAACCCTAACTCCCCAACGGAATGATATTAAAAGCTGGAGCCTGTGGAAGGTAATTAGGTTTAGAAGAGGTCATTAGGGTGGAGCCCCCATGATGAATTAGCATCTTATAAGAAGAGAAAGAGACTAGAGCTTGCTCCCTCCGCCACGTGAGGATACAAGAAGATGATCTTCTGCAAACCAGGAAGAGGTTTAACAGCATACCAAAGACTGGGGGGCTTAAACAACAGAAACTCATTTTCTCACAGATCTGGAGGCTACAAAGTCCAAGATCAAGGTGCCAGCTGGGTTGGCTCCGGGCAAGGGCTTTCTCCTCGGCTTATGTTCCCGCTGAGTCCTCATGTGGCGTTTCTTCCCTGTGTGCAGAGAGAGAGATCTCTGCTGTCTCCTTCTCTTCTTATAAGGAAACCAGTCCTATCGGCCCCGTCCTTGGGAACTCTTTTAACTTTGATCACCTTCCCAAAGGCCCTGTGTCCAAGTACAGTCACATCGGCGGTTAGGACTTCAGTATATGAATTTTGAGGGAACACAATTCAGTCCATAACATCATTTGTACCACTGTGACCCAGTATCTTTATCTTCTGTTCTACTGTGTCAGATATTAACATAGCCACACCAGCTTTCTTATCTTTGGTGTTTGCATAAATAACTTTTTCCATTCTTTTACCTTTACCCTGTCAGTGTGTTAATATTTTAAGTACATCTCTTGTAAACAGTGTTGACCTGTGTCTTACTTTTTTATTCAGCCTGACAAAGTGCATTTTAATTGGAGTGTTTAGTCTATTTATTAAATAAAATTATTGATATAATTTGCTTTAATTCTACCATCTTGCCACTCGTTTTCTGTCCATTTCCTCTGTTCTTCATTCTTTTGTGCATCCTTTCCTGTCTTAAATTAATTGAGTACTTTTTAGTATTCCATTTTCTCTATTGGTTTTTTTTTTCTTTGATACAATAAAATTTTGTTTTTGTTGGAGTCATATATTACTTTAGAGGTAATTTTCACTCCAAAAATATTTAAGTACAAAACCAAAACACTGGTTTTTAAAGGTGGTTTATAGCAGAGCAAGTTATTTTATACAAATTAATATCTTTTAAAAGTATATAATTTCTCCTTTTAAAGTGAGTTCTTTCATGCAAGCTGTTGAAGTTACAGCAGGAGAGCAAGCTCTGCTTTGTTCTGGGGTTGGTCCAAAGCCAGGTAGAGTTCCAATGTATGAAAAGCTTTCAAATTCTACCTTAAGGAGAGTCAATGTCAATACCAATTTCAAAGTACTTTTAAGAAAACTTAAATTTTCATATAAACACTGGAAACCTCAAAATTAGCCATTTCAAACAACACTAATTTCAGATGATCCCTTTTATTTAGAAGCCCTGTAGCTCTGTTTTGATCAAAAGTCGCATAGCCTTAAATCAGCTTATTAAAAAAAGAAAAATTCTACCTAAAATATAGTTGTATTTTTTAAATAACAAATAAATATTGCCAGCTTGGAGAGACCTGGGGCACCCAACGTTATCTACCAACTTGTATTATCGTTTTTCTAAAAATGCTGCTGCTGCCATTGGAGTCCTTATGCTTCCTCTTGCTGAAGCTGTCAGTTCTTCAATCTCGGCATTTAATTTACGTATTACCCATTCCATTGCTTCTCGGCCTTTATGAGCATTTGAAGATATGGTACTTGCCATCAGTCCTTCAAGGTAACTGCTAAGGCTAACTCCTTTCACAGTGATTATGGCTTCTTGAGTCAAAAAAGTTTTTTCTGGGTCCTGGGGATGTGGTTTGTACATAAGTCTCTTATTTACTGAAACCATATTTGTAAATGAAGTATGAGTAGATTTAAGTTCCATTGTTTTCTCTACAGGATCAACTACAGAATGTTCTTGCACATATGTTTTGGTTCTTGCTGCACCAAAAAGAGACTTCACAATGGAAGGCAGTCCCCACTCTGTGCTCAGAAGTCTATGGCTGTGCAACTTCCCGGAGGGATCTACATGTCTGTCCAACACATCAACTCCCACCACACTCGGGTTCATAGGGTTTGGGTGTTTCTGCATTGCAGCCGTGGTGACAGTTTCCCATAGGTGGTCAAAGACATGCTCCGAAGTCCAGATCTTCATGGTGCGGACAATGAGGCAAAGAGGCTACACACCCAGCACCCGGGCGCCTAGGCCGGCCGCGCAGCGCGCCGCAGGCGCCGTGGGGCCCTACGCGAGGGACTCTATTGGTTTTTTAATTATACCTCTTTATACTTTTTGTTTTAGTAATTGCTTTAGGAGTCACAATATGTATCCTTAACTTATCATACTTCATCTTGAAATAATATAGTATTCACACATAATTTGGGATTCTTAAAATAGTATAATCTCATTTACCTACAGTCCACCTTTTTTATCATTGTCATATACTATATTTCTATATATATACTGTATTTAATATTATATAAATTGTAAACTTTGTACAAATTATATAAATAGTAACACTATAATGTTACTATAAAAGTAATACTATTATAAATTATATAAATAGTAACAATACAATGTTACTACTTCGTGCTAAAAAGTTCATTAACTTTTAAATAATTTAAGAAAATTAAAATATAATGTATTTATCCACATGTTTCCCGTATGCCACATTCTTCGATCCCTCCTATAGATCCAAATTCTTTCCAGTACTATCTCTCTTCAGCTTGAAGAACTTCCTTTAGCATTTCTTGGAGTGTAAGTATGCTGTTCAAAAATTCTCTCTGGTTTTATTTAACTGAATATGTCTTTATCTGCCTTCATTTCTGAAAGCCATCTTCACTGGATATTTAATCCAAGATTGATAATATATTTCTTTCAGCAATCTAAAGACATTATTCCATTGTCCTCTGCCTTTCTATCTTTATGATAAGAAGTCAGCTATCATTGTTCTCTTACATATGAATTTTTATTTGGTTACTTTAAAGAAATTTTTCTAGTTTTAGTTTTCAGAAGTTTGACTATCAAATATTTGGATGTGGTTTTCTCTGTATTTATCTTGATTGAGATTCACTGAGCTTTCTATATTTTTCAGTTAACTGTTCTTGACCAATTTCAGACAATTGGTGGGAAGAGGAATTATCAAAGTTATTTTAAAATCTTCGTTTGCTAATTTCAACCCCTAGGTTGTCTGTGGATTTGTTTATACTGATTGATTTTTTTGTCTTGACTATAGGTTATATTTTCCTGATTCTTCATATGTATGGTATATTTTTTTTAATTTTGGAACAGTCTCAAGTTTTCAAGGAAGTTGAAACTGAAGAAAATTTTTTTGCTTGTTTGTTTTCTTGATACAGGGTTTCAGTCTGTTGCCCAGCTGGAATGCAGTTGCATGATCATAGCTCACTGCAACCTCAAACTCCTGGGTTCAAGAGATCCTCCTGCCGTAGACTCCTGAGTAGCTGGGACTACAAGTGTGTACTACCACACCCAGCTAATGTTTTCTATTTTTTTATAGAGACAGGATCTCACTATATTGCTCAGGCTGGTCTCGAGCTCCTGGCTTCAAGCAGTCCTCCTGCCTTCAAGCAATCCTCCTGCCTCAGCCTCCCAAAGTGCTGGCTCTGGCCCCCAAATATTTTTTTTCTCTGAATTATTTGAAAGGCAATTTCTAACAATATGCGCTTTGACCACTGATCACTTTTGTATATATGTATTGCCTATCACAAGGATAGTTGTCAACGTAACCTAATGGAACCATAAAAGTCAGGAAACTAATGCTACTATATTACTATCATCTCATTTTCAGATGGATTCAAGTTAATTATCTCAATACTGTCCTCTACTATAAAACATTATAGTCCAGAAACTCATGATGTCTCTGTAGTCTCCTTCAGTCAATAATAATTTCTATCTTTCCTTGAATTTCATGATCTTGACTTTCAAAGATTTTAGGACAATTATTTCATAGCATAGCCCTCAATACAGATTTGTCAAGTTTCTCCATGGTATTTAGTTATGCATCATTGGCTGGAATATCACCAGAATGAGCTGTATCTCATAGGTGGGACATGATTTTTATTTATCTCACTAATGGAACAAATTGTGCACAGAAAATTTACCAAGATATACTATATTCTGAGCCACAAAAGTATGTTTCAATATATTTAAAAGGATTCAAGAAATACAAAGTGTTTTCTTTGATCAGAATAGAATCACAGTAGAAATCAAAAATAGAAAAATACTAGAAAATCCCTAAATATTTGGAAACTAAATACAGCATATATAAAAAATCTGTGGGTCAAGGAATAAATCAAAAGAGAAATTTTAAAGCATTTTTTATTGAATGATAATGAAAACACAACATAGCAAAATCTGTAGGATGTTACTAAAACAGTACTTAGGGAAAAAATGTATAGCTTTAAATGCCTGTATTAGTATAGAAGACAAGCCTCAAATTAATGACCTTCTATTCCACAATAAGAAACTAGAAAAGAAGATTAAATTCAACCCAATGTAAGAGGAATAAAGACAATAATAAAGAACAGAGCAGGAGCAGTTGTGAAGCATGCACTTTCGTGTTGCAGGAGGCCGGCTTCTTCAAGAGGGAGGGGAAAGGTTGTAACCACTCCTTTGAGGGGGTCGCCGGGGACACTGTCGTGGATTTGTAGAGTTGGCTGGGTGGTACCATGGCAGAAAGAAAAGGAACAGCTAAAGTGGACTTTTTGAAGAAAATTGAGAAAGAAATCCAACAGAAATGGGATACTGAGAAAGTGTTTGAAGTCAACGCATCTAATTTAGAGAAGCAGACCAGTAAGGGCAAGTACTTTGTAACCTTCCCTTATCCATATATGAATGGGCGCCTTCATCTGGGACACACATTTTCTTTATCCAAATGTGAGTTTGCAGTAGGGTACCAGCGATTGAAAGGAAAAAGTTGTCTGTTTCCCTTTGGCTTGCACTGTACTGGAATGCCTATTAAGGCATGTGCTGATAAGTTGAAAAGAGAAATAGAGCTATAGGGTTGCCCCCCTGATTTTCCAGATGAAGAAGAGGAAGAGGAAGAAATCAATGTTAAAACAGAAGACATAGTAATTAAGGATAAAGCTAAAGGAAAAAAGAGTAAAGCTACTGCTAAAGCTGGGTCTTCTAAATACCAGTGGAGCATTATGAAATCCCTTGGCCTATCTGAAGAAGAGATAGTAAAATTTTCTGAAGCAGAACATTGGCTTGATTATTTTCCACCACTGGCTATTCAAGATCTAAAGAGAATGGGTTTGAAGGTAGACTGGTGTCGTTCCCCATTACCACTGATGTTAATCCTTACTATGATTCTTTTGTTAGATGGCAGTTTTTAACATTAAGAGAAAGAAACAAAATTAAATTTGGGAATCAGTATACCATTTATTCTCCAAAAGATGGAGAGCCTTGCATGGATCATGACAGGCAAACTGGAGAGGGTGTTGGACCTCAGGAATATACTTTAATCAAATTGAAAGTGCTTGAGCCTTACTCATTCAAATTAAGTGGCCTGAAAGGTAAGAATATTTTTTTGGTAGCTGCTACTCTCAGACCTGAGACCACGTTTGGACAAACTGTTGGGTGCATCCTGATATGAAGTACATTGGATTTGAGACAATGAATGGGGATATATTCATCTGCACCCAAATATCAGCCAGGAATATGTCATACCAGGGCTTTACCAAAGACAATGGTGTGGTGCCTGTTGTTAAGGAATTAATGGGGGAGGAAATTCTTGGTGCATCACTTTCTGCACCTTTAACATCATATAAAGTGATCTACGTTCTCCCAATGCTAACCATAAGGAGGATAAAGGCACTGGTGTTGTCACAAGTGTTTCTTCTGACTCCCCTGATGATTTTGCTGCCCTCAGAGACTTGAAGAAAAAGCAAGCGTTACAAGCAAAGTATGGAATTAGAGATGGCATGGTCCTGCCATTTGAGCCAGTATCAGTCATTGAAATCCCAGGTTTTGGAAATCTTTCTGCTGTAACCGTTTGTGATGAGTTGAAAATTCAGAGCCAGAATGACCGAGAAAAACTTGCAGAACCAAAGGAGAAGTAATATCTAAGAGGATTTTATGATGGTATACTGTTGGTGGATGGATTTAAAGGACAGAAGGTCCAAGATGTAAAGAAGGCCATTCAGAAAAAGATGATCAACATTGGAGATGCACTTATTTACATGGAACCAGAGAAACAAGGGATGTTCAGGTCTTCAGATTAATGTGTCATGGCTCTTTGTGACCAGTGGTACTTGGATTATGGAGAAGAGAACGGGAAAAAGCAGACATCTCAGTGCTTGAAGAACTTAGAAACATTCTGCGAGGAAACCAGGAGGAATTTTGAAGCTACCTTAGATTGGCTACAAGAACATGCTTGCTCAAGAACTTATGGTCTAGGCACTCCCCAGCCTTGAGATGAGCAGTCTGATTGAATCACTTTCTGATTCCACTATTTACATGGCATTTTACACAGTTGCACACCTGTTGCAGGGGGGTAACTTGCGTGGAAAGGCAGAGTCTCCACTGGGCATCAGACCACAACAGATGACCAAGGAAGTTTGGGATTATGTTTTCTTCAAGGAGGCTCCATTTCCTAAGACTCAGATCCCAAAGGAAAAGCTAGATCGGTTAAAGCAGGAGTTTGAGTTCTGGTATCCTGTGGATCTTCCAGTCTCTGGCAAGGATCTTGTTCCAAATCATCTTTCATATTACCTTTATAATCATGTGGCTATGTGGCCGGAACAAAGTGAGAAATGGCCTACAGCTGTGAGAGCAAATGGACATCTCCTCCTCAACTCTGAGAAGATGTCAGAATCCACAGGCAACTTCCTCACTTTGAACCAAGCTATTAACAAACTTTCAGCCGATGGAATGCGCTTGGCTCTAGCTGATGCTGGTGACACTGTTGAAGATGCCAACTTTGTGGAAACCATGGCAGATGCAGGTATTCTCCGTCTGTATACCTGGGTGGAATGGGTGAAAGAAATGCTTGCCAACTGGAACAGCCTAAGAAATGGTCTTGCCAACACTTTCAATGATAGAGTTTTTGCCAGTGAAATGAATGCAGGAATTATAAAAACAGATCAAAACTATGAAAAGATGATGTTTAAAGAAACTTTGAAAACAGTATTTTTTGAGTTTCAGGCAGCGAAAGATAAGTACCATGAATTGGCCATAGAAGGGATGCACAGAGAACTTGTGTTCCGGTTTATTGAAGTCCAGACACTTCTCTTGGCTCCATTCTGTCCACATGTGTGTGAGCACGTCTGGACACTCCTGGGAAAGCCTGATTCAATTATGTATGCTTCATGGCCTGTGGCAGGTCCTGTGGATGAAGCCTTGATATGTTCCTCACAGTATGTCATGGAGGTACCACATGACCTTAGACTACGACTCAAGAACTATAGGACGCCAGCTAAAGGGAAGCAGACTGACAACCACCTCCGAAGCCCTCACATTGCACCATCTATGTGGGGAAGAACTATCCACCTTGGCAACATACCACCCTATCAGTTCTACGCAACCACTTTGAGGCCAACAGTGGAAAATTGCCTGATAACAAAGTCATTGCTAGTGAACCAGGCAGTTTGCCAGAATTGAAGAAATATATGAAAAAAGTGATGCCATTTGTTGCCAGGATTAAGGAAAATCTGGAGAAGATGGGGCCTCGTGTTCTGGATTTGCATTTAGAATTTGATGAACAGGCAGTGCTTATGGAGAATATAGTCTACCTGACTAATTCCCTTGAGCTAGAACACATAGAAGTCAAGTTTGCCTCTGAAGCAGAAGATAAAGTCAGGGAAGACTGTTGTCCTGGGAAACCACTTAATGTTTTTAGAACAGAACCTGGTGCGTCAGTTTCCCTAGTGAATCCCCAGCCATCCAGTGGCCACTTCTCAACCAAAATTGAAATCAGGCAAGGAGATAACTGTGATTCCATAATTAGGAGTTTAATGAAGATGGACCGAGGAATCAAAGACCTTTCCAAAGTGAAACTGATGAGATTTGATGATCCACTGTTGGGACCTTAACAAGTTCCTGTCCTGGGAAAAGAGCACACTGAGAAGACCCCTATTCCTGAGCATGCTGTTTTCGATGTGGACGTCATGAGCAAGAAAATTCATCTCACTGAAAATGGGCTACGGGCAGATATTGGTGATACAGTTATCTATCTGGTTCATTAAATTCAAGCAAATTGGAGATTTATTCTGGTTTTTAGTGATACTACTCCTCCTCTGATTGTGCCTACTGATTTGCTATGAGAATCTTAGGCTAGACCAAATAGATTTCATGTCTAACCATTAAATTCTGCATGTAACCACAATTATACCAAGTCATCTTTGATTCACAGATGACACACCCAACAGTTCCCATCATTTATTATCAACCAGCACCCGTGATGCGTTCTCCCCCTTTAATTTCATTCAATCCCACTCTTGATATTTTATAGCCTGTGGATTAACATACAAAGCTAACCACCAAAACACATTCTATAAAAATAGTGGGGAAAAGTAAAAGAGACAAATAGAAAATTGGGTTTTTTTTAATAACAAAGCAAGTGAGATAGTATAGGTAGCTATTATAGTCCTCATTTCTATAACCAGTCATGTGGTTGTAGTAATTGTCTGAATATTACCTGGTGAAGTGACCCCAAACTTTATTCCTAAGGGTTCTGAGTCTTGTCTCTATTGGGTCACTATAGTGTTCCATTCGTTTTGCCACTGCAGGGCAATATTTGGAGATGCTCTCAAAGGATCCTTGGTTCTTGACATACTTTCCTGTGCCATACAAGATACCTTATTTCCCCTTTGCCTCTGTCTGTTGACTTTAGTTGGGCAATTAAAATTCAAATGGC